CTATTTATCTATCTGTCTGTCTATCTATCTATCTATCTATCTATCTATCTATCTATCTATCTATCTATCGTTTGTTCGTTCGTTCGTTTGTTCTGTCTATCATTTCATCATCAGCATTCTATCTATATCTATCTATCTATCTATCTGTCTGTCTGTCTGTCTATCTGTCTATCTATCTATCGTTTGTTCGTTCGTTCTATCATTTCATCATCAGCATTCTATCTATATCTATCTATCTATCTATCTATCTATCTGTCGGTCTGTCTGTCTGTCTGTCTGTCTGTCTGTCTATCATCTATCTATCTATCTATCTATCTATCTATCTATCTATCTATCTATCTATCTATCTATCTATCTATCTATCTATCTATCTATCTATCTATCTATCTATCTATCTATCTATCTATCTATCTATCTATCTATCTATCTATCTATCTATCTATCTATCTATCTATCTATCTATCTATCTATCTATCTATCTATCTATCTATCTATCTATCTATCTATCTATCTATCTATCTATCTATCTATCTATCTATCTATCTATCTATCTATCTATCTATCTATCTATCTATCTATCTATCTATCTATCTATCTATCTATCTATCTATCTATCTATCTATCTATCTATCTATCTATCTATCTATCTATCTATCTATCTATCTATCTATCTATCTATCTATCTATCTATCTATCTATCTATCTATCTATCTATCTATCTATCTATCTATCTATCTATCTATCTATCTATCTATCTATCTATCTATCTATCTATCTATCTATCTATCTATCTATCTATCTATCTATCTATCTATCTATCTATCTATCTATCTATCTATCTATCTATCTATCTATCTATCTATCTATCTATCTATCTATCTATCTATCTATCTATCTGTCTGTCTGTCTGTCTGTCGTTCATTCTATCTATTGTTTTGTCTATCATTCTGTCTGTCTGTCATTCTATCTATCTATTGTTTGCTCGTTCGTTCGTTCTGTCTATCATTTCATCATCAGCATTATATCTATCTATCTATCTGTCTGTCTGTCTGTCTTTCTGTCTATCTATCTATCTATCGTTTTGTCTATCATTCTGTCTGTCTGTCGTTCTGTATATCCATCCATCCATCCATCTTTCGTTCGTTTGTTCGTTCATTCTGTCTATCATTTCATCATCAGCTATCCATCCATCCATCCATTTTTTTGTCTTTTGTTCTCTGTCTGTCTGTCATTCTATCTGTCTTTCTATCGTTCTGTTTTTCTCTTATATCTTTCTCTCTCGCTATCTCTCTGAGAGCAGCATGTGTGTTTGTGACGTTTAAGAGTTGTGGACGTACTGATTGTTGTGTTTTTGTGGAGATTCTCTTGGTCTTGTGTTTTTTTTTCCTCCAGCACTTACACTCATTCTCGTGTCCTGAGCTCTTTCCCAGCATCATTTGCGTTCTGTCTCTCCTCGTCCCAGTTTTCTCTCCTACTCCTCTCTTCTAGAGCACTGACCTCCAGTATGTTGTTCAATGAGGTCACGGCTGTGGGTTTCCTCCTCGTTCGGGTTCCTTCTCTAAAGCTTCTCCTCATTATTTGGGCTGTTCATGTGTGATTTCCTGTATTAACGTCACTCTGAGTTATCTTACCAGTTTAGCGTTAAGCAATCTATGAAAAGCCCTCAAACATACAGAACATGTTGGTTATGCATTAGTATTCAAGGAAATGGTTCGGTTTTGATTCCCCACACTTCAGTTTATTTATGATCAGCTGAGTTTCCTCCATTTGTTCACTGCAGGAGATCTATCAGCTTCACATGCACTAGTGTGGTTTTTGTAGGACAACATGGTGTGATAATTTTAGCAACACTGGTCACCGGTGTCCTTAGTGCCTTTTCTCTTCATGTTGATAAATACTCACATGCACCTGTATTTTTTTTAAATGCATCCTCGCATCTGGATTGTTTTGACAAAGTCTGTGTGGCTTTTGTAACAGCAGCAGGAGGTGTTTCACACTGAATTACTGGACGTAAAATGATGGTTGGTCACGTAGCTCTGTAAGAGGCTGTTCCCGAATGTGAAGTGATCAGAATTACGATTAAACTAACGAAGAAGTTCCACAGACTTAATTGAAGAAGGGACTTTAGTCAAATCTAGAGAGTTTACTACCATCCAATTTAGTAACCAATCAAAACACCTTAGCATCCACATCGCACCCTAGCATTGTGAAGCAAAAGTTTGGGGTGAGTAAGATTCTTTTTAAAATAAAATAAATACTTTTATTAATAAAAAATGCATTAATTGGCATTAAAGACATTTATAATGTTACAACAGATTTCTATTTCAAATAAATTCTGTTCTTTTGAATTTTCTATTCATCACAGAATTCTGAAAAATAAAATGTATCAGTTTTCACAGAAATATGAAGAAGCACAGCTGTTTTCAACTGATAATAATCAGAAATGTTTTCTGAAGGATCATGTGACACTAAAGACTGGAGTAATGATGCTGAAAATTCAGCTTTGCATCACAGGAATAAATTACTTTTTAAAATATATTCAAATGGGAATGAAGTACAATACGACAGGATGTGTGTGTAAAAGGGTTTCTTCTCACAAAAAAGGGAGCCAGCAAGCTGAATGGACGCTTGGACAAAACGCACGTGGAAAAAGAGATGTATTTAGTTATTTCTGTCACCCAATAATGGTTCTATTGCACTACTGACTAACTCGCATGCATTCCTCTATGGTATAGTATTGTTTGACAGGTCTCGTCTTGTGTCCAGTGTCCTCAAAGTCCGGTTTCTGCGGTCTCTTTGCTGTTTTTGTGGCCTGGTCTCATATCACCGCTCTTCCCGCTTTGTCCTTGGGCTGCCGGTTTCTGTGTGGCGCCTGCGTTACTCTCTCTGAATCGTCTCTAGAGAGCGAAATGAGGCCAGTGCTCTATTTTTCCCCACCTGCCCCAGTCAACTGCCAATTATACAGCGGAGAGCTAATCAGGCGAGGGAGAAACACTTCTCTGCTTTCTCATTGGTCCGGTTTTATTAGCTGCTGAATATGAGGGGATTCATGCATGTGGTTGACGTGTCTTCTTACATGTCATATATGGTTGGAAGATTTTCAACAAATGTCATACAAAGTGCAAAATAGTCCAATATAACAAACCATGGCTAGATTCGTACATTAAAGGCAAACACTTCTGCAATGTCCAGTTTTGGATGCTGTGGTAGCATTTTGTTAGGTTGTGTTTTTTAACAGATTTAGTCAATATTTTGTTTCTTTCTGGTTAAAATTCTTCCTTTATGAAAGATTGTAAAAAGTGAAAAAATTGTGAGATATGAAATTGGATTTGTGAAAAATAGTCACAATTAATTTAAATTAAATTTTTTTAACTCAATTATTTCTTGTAATTGAGAGCATTACCCACATCTGCAACTTCATAGTTCACACACACACACACACACACACACAGACACACACATATGAATGAAATTACTGACATTTAATTACTGACTGATATTTAAAATATGAAATATCAACGTGGTGTGTTTGTGTTTCCACTAGGCTACTGACTAGCTTAACCAGTGAGAAATCACTGTGTTTTTAGTGCCTGACCCCGACTAACTCCAGCCCTGTATCAGGAACACAGGTTAGTGGCATCAGATCTTGGAAAGATATTCAGAGTTTTGTTTAAAGCAGGTAAACCTGATCTCCATGTACAGATCTGTGCTTTTTGCTTGGCTATATCAGTGAAATAGACTTAATTTATCACTTATTTTGTGGTGTTTTCTGTATAACTGTTCACAGAAATTACTACAGCATAATTTACGTTTTCTTTTAACACCAGTCTATCCTTGAGGTAATCTATTTCAGATAAATCACACACTAAAACATTTACCTTCTCCTATGAGAACTAAGAATTCATGCATTTTCTGGCATTTCAAAGAATGAAGCATGTGCTGTTTTTATCATCTTCAAGCTGAATTTTAATACAGAGACATATAATGATAAATAAATTCCATAATATAAAAATCCAAAAATCTTTGTATTATCCAAAATCTACCTTATTATTTAGATACAATTATTTGGATAATTTTAGATTTATTTAATATAAACTAATTTTAATAATAATAATTTTAGATTTGTTTTTTAGATAATGTTAAACTTATTTGGATAATATGTTATCCAAAGATCCAAAACTAAATTATTAAAAATAATTAAGACATAGGAATGTAGAAATAAAAATAGTATTCCAACAATAATTGTAACTATTTCAGTATTTGCATTGGGTGAATGTGCACTTGATGAACCACAAAAGAGGTTTTGATTTTTAACGTAAATAACCACCTAAAGCTGTGAAGGGGTGAATCTGTCACCACGAGCCATCAGTAATGAGGTGACGGAGATCTCTGGAGGTTTACGGGACCGTTTCTAAATGTGGACATCACTGATGTCAGTGTCTCTTTACAGTATTTACTGTACAGATATCAGGCGTCGAGGGAGAGGTGGAGATATCTGGTGCATGTGCAGTTATGCTTTTTAAGGCATTTGTGAATAAAGAAGAAGTGTGTAAAATAAAGGGGAGACATAAACATACTGACTGAAAGATGATATAAATAAATCCAGTGAGTCAGTGTCCCTCTTGTGTGCAATTATACAACAATATAATCAGCAGAAATACAGCGGCTGATGCTTCACAATGCTACAGGTCAGTGACCCAAATCACACGCTCAATGCAACCGATGCAATCTGTAAGTCAGGTTGATTTATTTGTATAGCACTTTTCACAAAACACTAAAGCTCTTCAATCACACATGCTCAGTGTTAAGAAATGTTCTCAAATATCCAGTATTTTTATTATGCTGTCTAAAGTTTTGGTGTGTTTGAATTCAAATTTAAGATTAAAAAATATCTGTTTTATCAGTGGGTTGTGGGTTAAAGTTAATATGCGTGACGCCACATACACGATTTTATAATGGCTGTGAGGTTGGAGCAATTGCAACTCTCATTATGAAATAAAGACAGATTGAAATATGTAATGGACATTATTTCATTAAAGTATCTAGGACTGTTTTTGCTTACTGGTCAGTGAATTTTAGTGAACAGGATTTAAAGGTGCTGTAATTTATTTGACTGTACTAAAGCATAAAAATACCATAATATGTTTGCAGATATTTAGGAAACATGCTAAGGTCATATATGTGTTTCTGAAAAACAATGCTACAGCCAGTTATTGTACTTTGAAGTTTGCATTCCGTGTCAGAATGTCTGTTTTTGTTTTGGTCTGTGTGACTCAGCCCACTGCCAATTTACCCATTATAGTATTTCAACACCCCAGGTTGCCAGTTGGTGGAAAACACAGCGACTACAGCCATAGTGGATTCACAGTGGATTCTACCCGACCTAAAAAGCCTCTACATCCATCTAAAAACCTCTATGACAAGAGGAATATTAAAACACGGATAAATCAGCTCATCAACTTACAGTCGTCGTGTTATGCGTTATGTCTTTTCAGGCTCATAAATGGTTGGTGAAGGTTAACAGTAGCAAATTAAGAACAGTAAGATCATCTTGGAGATGCACATGGACGTCACCAGCACATAGAGATACACAGAGAACGACTAAATCGCACTGTAATTTAGCCCAAATTCAACTCTGTCTTCTGCAAATTGAATCCAGCCTGTGTGCCCTGGAGAAATGGCAGGAGTTTGTTATTTTTAGAAATAAATTGTGGAAAAAGTCCCACAAAATGTCTTAGCTTGCAGATCTTTATTAAATGAAAGGTTTCTGAAGCCATTTGTGACTAAAATGTGCTGTTATTTATTAAATATATTTGCAGTGTTGTTACCAGGGTGTTGCTATGCATTTACCAAAGTGTTCTGAGTGGTTGCTAGTGTGTTACTAGGGTGTTCTGGGTGGTTGTTAGTATGTTGCTAGGGTGTTTTAGTGGGTAGTGCATTGCTAGTGTTTTCTGAGTGGTTGTTAGTGTGTTTCTGGGGTGTTTTGAGTTGTTGTTAGTGTGTTGCTAGGATGTTTGAATGGTTAGTGCAGTGCCAGGGTGTTTCAGTGTGGTTGTTAGGGTGTTCTGAGTGGTTGTTAGTGTGTTGCTACGGTGTTCTGGGTGGTTGTTAATGTGCTGCTAGGGAGTTTTAGTGGTTGTTAGTATGTTGCTATGGTGTTTGAGTGGTTAGTGTGTTTCTAGGGTGTACTGAGTTGTTGTTAGTGTGTTGCTAGGGTGTTCTGATTGGTTAGTGTGTTTCTAGGGTGTACTGAGTGGTTGTTAGTGTGTTGCTAGGGTGTTCTGAGTGGTTGTTAGTTTTGCTAAGGTGTTTGAGTAGTTAATGTGTTGCTAGGGTGTTCTAAGTTGTTGTTAGTGTGTTGCTATGGTGTTTGAATGGTTATTGTGTTTCTGGGGTGTTTTGAGTTGTTGTTAGAGTGTTGCTAGGGTGTTTAAATGGTTAGATTTTCTGGTTTCTATAAATGTGCTTTATACTGATTGTTTATAGATCTGGAATTTATTTTAACATCAGTAAAATGAAATGCTTTACTCCTCTAATGATTATTCTCTCATTCTTTTCTTCAGTCTGTCTCACATTAAGGTGGACACCAATAAGCAGCATGACTCAGTGGCATGACATCAACACTGCTTGCTGACACGGTGCAGCAAAGGATGCTGGGAAACACCAAGCGTTTTTTTGGCAGCGCCGAAGACAAAGAGGGCGAGGATGAGGAGGATGAGGAGGAGCGATTGAAGAGATTAAAACAAAATGGGATGATCAATATGGGAGACAAGGAACATCAGAACCGGACCGGACGCAAGACGGACGGATCCAAACCGGCGGCCGTTGTGATTGGATGGCAGAGAGGAGAGAGACAGCCCAGGGCCGTTAACTCCGCCCAAAGAGGAATCCCACATTTGCCCAGTCAGCCGACTCTTTATCATCAGACAACCAATCAGCCGCTGTATCACCCGGTCTTGACCAGTCAGCAGGCCCGGCGGCGTCTCATGGAGCGGAGCATGACTACGGTCACACCTGTGGAAGACTCGCACCTCGCCGTGATTGTGTTCCGCATCGGCATACCTGACATCAAACAAACGGTCTGCCCATTTCTGTTCACACACATACTCACAATCTGTACTAGAGATTGGCCGATTATCATTTTCTCAAATTCTCTACTCGATAACTTACATAATTACTAAAACTTAATTTTGCGTCCACAGATATGGTACAGATATTTGCGTTTACCAATATTAATTTTAAATCTATCAATAACAATAATATGCCATAATGGCATAATTATTATAAATATTCATAATTTTTACTTTATTTTTATGATTTTTTAAATAATTGTCAAATAAATAAAAATAAAATAATTATTTAAAATATATATTTTATTATTATTATTATTATTATTATTCATAATTAATATTTTTGTTTGTATATTTGCAGTGTAATTTTTTTACTTTTTATTGTTTATTCAAATAAATAGAAATAAAATGATTATTATAAATGTACATAATTTGTATTTCATTTTTATATTTGTAGCATTTTTTTAAATAATAATTGTCAAATAAATAGAAATCAAATAATAATTTAATATTTGATTATATTATTATTATTTATAATTAAAGGGGTGGTTGATCAGCTTTTTGCAAAGGCTTGACTGTGTGGGTGCAGTGTAACGTGTTCATAAACGCATTATTTTCACATATTTTACCTTTATTCTAGAATGCTGTTTCCGTTCTCCTAAAAATGGTCTGTCGAGTTCCTGGTTCTGTGAAGCCCCTCCCTCAGAAATACGCAACCGGGCTCAGATTGGTTAGCTGGCCCAGTGTGTTGTGATTCGCTAACTGCCTATTGCACGTTGTCCAGAAATGTCACGTCCCTCTCACATGTCTCCTTTAGAGTTTCAGAAGAGATCTTAAAGGGGTCATATGATGCGATTTCAATTTTTCCTTTCTCTTTGGAGTGTTACAAGCTCTTGGTGCATAAAGAATCAGACTGTGCTCACATTTGCCAAAACACCAAAATCTGTAATCAAAAGTCAGATATCTCTATGAATTCTAATGCTGCTGTTTCCTTTTCTTTATTAAGGTCTGATGTTCATGTGTCCTAACACACACACAGGGCCGGATTTACCTCTTTTTGTGAATACACATTTTTGGGGCCCCCTTCCCAATTAATATAATAGGCCTAATATTACCACCCAAGCAAACAAAAATATTTCTTAATCAGTGGAAACCGTTACAGTGTTTTCTATTGCAATAAGCGCTTGCGTTGAATGTAGTTCTTAATTTGTTTGAGAACTGAGAAAGACCATTGCATTAATAGGCACGGCGACGTGGCCACATAACCACTTCGGGAGTGCATTATTTCTCTAATAATTTTAACGGCCTTGAAACACAATCAGACATCAATTGTTCAGATGATTTGTTTCAAGACATTTGACATGTCCTGAAATCTCGTGTGTGTTGAACTAGCTAATTTTTTACGCACCGCATCCCAAAACTTCCGTTGCAAATTCCAAAACATCATTTTAGAGCTAATAACTGAGGCTTGAACCATTGATATGCATGCTAACGCAGTTATTAATGCAGTCTAACGCTGTTATTAGAGAGAGAGAGTGAAAGAGAGAGAGATTAAGTGCGTGTGAATACGTGCGTCTGTGCGTCTCTGAGCTGCGAAACTATTTTATTGATCAATTCACGGGGCAGCTGGAGCTCTGACAACAAGATTCTGTTCGCGGCTCTGCGTGTGTGCGCGAGAGTGTGTCTGTACTGTGTGTGTGTCTGTGAGAGGAGAAAAGTGTGATTTCTGTACTTAAAAAAGGTTGAAGACATGGAAATAGTTTGTCATTTTTACCCTATTGTTTGTTATATTTATTTCCTCAATGTCTTCTGGGGTTTTGGTTCTTTTACTTTTGTAGATATCCCATAGTATAACAAAAATATTATATATCTCTTCATCACTGTACAACAGTAAATGTTTCTAATGGAAGCTTCAAAGAAACACACACACTTTAATATACTCTGGATCTGTTGTGTCTCCCAAGGTTACTGTGGGAGGGATCGAGACATTAGAAGAAAATTAAAAAATAAATTAATTCTGGGGGAGAAAAGGGGAACATGGGAATCCGTAATGAAAGAATATTTACTGCGTTTGTTTATTATTGTGTGTGTGACGCTATTCTGGGTAAATTTTAAATAAACACACACACTGAGCTCGAGTTGTGTGGGAGCTCTGACCTGATTTAATGTCAAAATCGCTCTCATCTAAACTCATCTCAACTCCTGACTCAGTTAGCAGCTCACTTTAGCACACTCCATCGCGGCACATTAACAATCCCCAGATAAAGCTACATATTACTGAAGTTTGGTGTTGGATTTTAATATGCAGGGTGGTTTATGGTTTACAGTATGTCAGATGACTGTTTTAAAGCTGTTGAAAGAGCTTGTAAAAGTGATTGATTACGTTCCAAAGCAGACAACACAGAAATATTCAACAGGTGTCATTAATTATCAATAGAATCTTTGACATGTTGTTGTTCGCCACAGAAAATGGTTGCAACATATTGCAAATATATTTACAAAAATGGGTTTCAGCGTCATTTTAATATAATATGAAATATTATCATATTTAATATTTATATTGTAATGCATGTTTTTCATCACAGAACATGTAGCATATTGCAAATATGTTTACAGTAATGGGTTTCAGTGTCATTTTAATATGAATTATTATAATATTTAATAATCATTAATATTAATAATATAATAATATAAATAATAATTAATATTTATTTTTTATTATCAATTATATTTTATTATAGTTTTTGTTAATATTTTGAATATTGTATTTTCTTATATTACAGTAAATTTTCTGTTTTCACTTGAATTTTAGCTAGTTTTATTAATTTTGTTGTTTTTGTCATTTTTATTTATTAATTTTTTTGTAAAAATAATAAATAATAAATTTGTTTTTGTACTAAATATTTAAATATTTTATAATTTAAATATTTAATTTTACAGATTTTGTTTTTTAATTGTTGTTTTACTTCAAATGAATGAAAATTAGAGTGTATTTACACTGTAAAAACATTACTGTAAACACAATTTTAGTATGAGTTATGAGTCAAAATGATGCTCTGTGTTGAGCGACAGCACTTCACAGATGCCGTCAATAAAGCAGAAAGTTGTTTTGAACTTTAAATCCAGTTCAATCTGTTGTTCTCATGAACCTGTTTTCTCTCTCGCCGTCTGTAGAAGTGTTTGCGGTTTGATCCCGATTCAAGTGTTTGGAGTGCGAAGCAGCAGATTATTTGTTCTCTCAGCGAGTCGTTGTGGGACGTTTACAATTACGGCCTCTTCCAGCCAGCTGGAGACGGACGAGATGCCAAGTTCCTGGAGGAGGAGCGCTTGCTTCGAGAGTTCGGCCAGTCCCTGGAGAAGGGAGTGCCCTACCTGGAGGTGCTGTGGAGGATATGAGATCACAGGCTCACAAACACTAGACAACATCACCTAGAATGCTCCTAAAAGAGCTCGAACATTCCCACCATTATTGACCTATAAAAAAAAAGAATACAGGTTGTTTAACACTTGTTGAGCCTTTAGGGGCAAGTTGTCACAATAGGAACCTGCTGAGAAGAATCGCAGGTAACACTTTACCATTAGGTTTCATTTGCTAACATTAATTACAGTAACTGTATTAGTTAACATGATCTAGCAATAACAAATACTTCTAAAGCATTTATTAATCCTAGTTGATGTTAATTTGAACATTTACTAATAAATTAATCAAATCAAAAGTTGTATCTCTTAATATTTCATTATATTTGTATATTTTATATATCTGTTACTGTTAATATTGTACTGTTAATACTGAATAGTTACTATTAAATAAATAAAACATTTTTAAAATATTTTTAAAATAAATATTTTTATTAACCAATTTTAAGATTAATTAATTTTTAGTTAATATTATTTAATGCATTGACATAAAATATTGGGACCTTATTGTGAAGTGTTACCGTATACCTTTATGAAAAATTATAAAATGTAAAAAAAACCAAAACGTATTTTTGGTTAAAATGTGTAACTATTTTTACTGGCATTTCAGCACAGTTTAAACATTAAAACAGTGACAGTATAAACTAAAAATTATGAAACTGCAATAATGAACTAAACTATCATGTATTTCAGTTTTATTCTAATTTAAGTTTTAAATTGTTTAATTACACATAGTATATTTATAAGTTTACCTAAGATGTATTAGTAAGAAGTTAAACTGTTTTATTTGTTTGTTTTTCCTGTGTATATTTTTATTTATTTATTTTATGTGGCTTCAAAGTTGAACAGTGCTTTAGCCTAATTTTAAAATCTCCAGATATGGCGCATCTCTCTCTTTTGTAGTTTGAATCAAACAGTCCCATCGTCTGTATTAAATCTCTCATTTATGTGTTATTTTTTTCAGACCTTGTCAATTGACATAGCTTTAACCAGTTTCTCTGTACTCCCTCTTCTCTTCCTGCTGTCTTTAATTTACAGTTCAGATATAAGACGCGGGTCTACAAACAGACAAACCTGGATGAGAAACAACTAGCGAAGCTGCACACCAAGGTAAATACAAGACAAAATAAGTATAGCTACCAAAACAGATCGTATATAATTGTAGAAACAGTCTTTTGTGGAAAGCTGGATGTGTTGTATACAGTAGGAAGGAGGTGAAGCGTCTGTGTGTGTCTCCCTCTGCAGGCCAATCTGAAGAAATTTCTGGATTATGTTTATGCTGGAGCTGTGGAGAAGTTGAGTAAAGCTCTGGAGAAAGGACTGGACCCCAACTACCATGACACTGAGAGCGGAGGTGAGACTGTGAAGGGTCTTGAATCCCGTGAGAGTCTCCAGGTAGTACTTTTGCCTAGACAAACTTAGTTGCAGCAAATATGCCTGTGTGAAAAAGTGCAACCATTTTATTTTGGTAATCAGCGTGAACTGGGTTATTATCATAAACTAAAACTAAAACTATAAAAATGTTGTTACTTGAAACACTTTACAAAAAGTTTCCATTTGTTTACATAAGGTAACATGAACAAACAATGTTAAGGATAATTTCAGCTATTACTAATACATTATTATAAAACGGATAGTTCCGGTCCTTGATTCTGATTGGCTGAGTCGCGTTCGAAGCTGTTGTAAATTACTCTACAAACATACACCTTTGTTTACTTCTGTGTGTTGCTCGACAACCACTTTGTTGGAACCACAACTGTTTCTGAGGAACTACATTGTTTGGTGGAAGAATACAGTTTTTATTTATATCATTACACTTTATTTGCTCTGTTTTATTTTGTGAAACCTTACTACATATATGGAATAACCATTTTATAAAAGCAATAAGCCCCGTGAAGCCGTGGTTTACAGTGAATTTATAACAGCTAAGGGGGTTTTAGGCACTCTGCTTCGCGTCTATCCGTTTTATAATAATTATAATAAAGCAATAAGCTTTGTAGTAGTTTGTAGAGTAATTGACAACAGCTTCGAACGTGGCTCAGCCAATCAGAATCAAGGACCGGAACTATCCGTTTTATAATAAAGCAATAAGCCCCAAGAAGCCCTAATAGGACCTTGTTGTAAGGTGTTACCCTTCGAAATAAAATAAACATGAACTGAAATAAAATATTTGTAAAAAAAATTTTTTTTAACTTATTTTATTTCAGCTAGCTGCCAAAGCGACATTTCTCATTTTCATTTATTTATGTTAAAACACTAAAATAACTAAAACTAAATAAAGTAAAAAAAAACAAAAAAAAAATGAAATTGAAAAATGTTTTTAATAAATAATTATTTTCAGTTTTCACTTTCATTCTTAGTAATTTTGTTTTCTTCAGTAATGTTTTTGTCATTATTATTATTATTATTATTACTATTATTATATCTATATAGCATATTTTAAGATACAAATATAATAAAAATGACAAAAAAAAAAACAACAAAATTACTAAAACTTTAACAAATTTTTTAAATGAAAACAGAAAATATAAAAATAAAATCTAATTTAATAATATAATATTATATCAGTGATACTAAAATAACACTGGCCTGGATGTTAGATCTGTTTATTATGTTTAAACCATTAATAAAATATAAATCCTCATTTTTATTTTATTTTTAATTTTAGACCTGTTTTTTAATCTAGTGATATTATGTAGTAGATGTAGATTGAATGAATAATATTCCTTTGACATTTTCAGTTCAGATGAGCGTCATTGTGTTGCCAACATTTCCCTGTCAGAATCATCTAATTTCATTGACCTTAGATTCAAAGCTCATGTTCATTATGAGTCTATTCTTGTGCCGTTTAATTTAAAGGATGCTTTTTAATTGATGTGACGTTCAGCGCACTAATTGCGAGAAGGGTCTGGCTGCAGTCTTGCACTTGCACTCTCAGACTTGCATTATCAGACTTGCACTCTCAGACACTTGCACTTCCGCTAGCGAAGTCACTTGCAGTCTTTTTTATTTTTTATTTTGTTCTATTTATTTTTATAATAATATTTATGTTTTTCTACAGGAGGAAAACGCTTAGCGAGAGACTTTGCGCATTGCGTTCATATTCTGCTGTTCTGTGGCCACGGATTTGCGGGTCTTGTCTTTTTCTTGCAGGACCCTGTACGTTATAGTACTAAATTAGTTTTAATCGTTTAATCACCACAGCTTCTTGTCTCCATTGGCAACACGCACGATTTGTGTCGATTGCAAGTGACGTCGCAGGTATCGGAGAGTGCAAGTGGCAATTGCAAGTGACTTCGTAATTTAGTTTCTTTTGTCTTGTCTTCACCACCTGGCTACTGTTGTAAAATGTTGAGAGATTCAAACAAAAAGAATAAATAAATAGAACAAAATAAAAAATAAAGACTGCAAGTGACGTCGCTAGCGGAAGTGCAAGTGTCTGAGAGTACAAGTCTGAGACTGCAAGCACAAGTCTGCAGCCAGACCCTTTTGCTAATTGCAGCGGCGTTCTGGAATAAGCAGGAGTTCAGAATCTCGCTCACAGGCACTATGATGTCATAGGGCCGTCACAGTAACGCTGCAGATCATTGGTCAGTTGTAATCGAAAGGATCCTTTCTGATTTGTGGTTGCAACCTTAGATAGTTAACCATTTGGGTATGAATGCTAACTTTATGAACATTAACTGTATATTTAGTGAGCTGGACGCTACACTGTAAGACAAAATCAGCAGAAAAAAGGATGAGAAAATTTTATAATAATATTTACTATTTAATAAAACTATTTATTAAATAATAACTATATATCGAATTTGATCTTTTAATTGCACTTAATGTATCTTAATAGATTAAGCCATGTTAAGTGTTTATGTTTTTCTACAGGAGGAAAACGCTTAACAAGAGACCGTAATTCAAAATGCGGGTAAAACACCTGCGAGGAATCAACCCAGAATTTTTTTTTCTTTTTTCATATTAACACAGTACATATTTTTACAGTGTATGGGGTCAGGTCACATTTATTTATATAGCACTTTATACAATTAAGATTGTTTCAAAGCAGCTTCACTTTAGCAAAAAAAAAAAAAAAAAACAGGAAAATAACAGTATAAATTATAAAATTCATCAATTATGAAAACAGGTTCAATTCAGCTATAAAGCATCTCTACAGAGAACAATTTACTAGCAATTTCTAAATGAAAATAGTTCCTACACTACAGTTTTTTGAGTGTGTGTGCCATTTTACTGTTTAGTGTTTTGCCTGTTTCTCTTAAATACAGCTGTTCTTCTGTAGCTGTAGTGTCAGTATCTCTTTTCATCTGTTTCTCAGAGACTCCTCTGACTCTGGCGGTTCAGGGGAATCTGAACGTGGAAGGGATTCGTGTTCTGGTGCTGAACGGAGCTCATGTGGATTTCAGATCCATAGACGGACTCACACCCCTCCATAAAGCAGTCAGAGCTCATAACCAATCCACACTCATGGTACAAACACATGCAGTTCATTCACAGCATGAGTGCATTTAAAGGAATATTTCACCCAAAAAAGAAAATTAGCTGAAAACGTACTCAGGCCTTTGTTTCTTCATGGGAACAGATTTGGAGAAATGTAGCATTACTCACCAATGGATCTTCAGCAGTGAATGGGTGCCATCAGAATGAGAGTCCAAACAGCTGATAAAAACATCACAATAATCCACACCACTCCAGTCCATTAAAGGTCCCATATTGACAAAACTGAAATTCCCTGGCTTTTTTCACGATAACTGAGGTCTAGGGGCTACAAGACATAGTCGTGAGGTGCAAGAAACATAGACATATGGCAAGAAATCTGTAGACGCGCCCATAACAACAAAAGACAATACTTTATTGAACCTTTTCTGATAAGAAGTGTGCGCTGCAACCGTGAGCATTTTTGACGATCGTCTCTGTCCAGTCTGCTCGTTTTATCGCGTTTAACCACAGCTGTCGTCGGTTTTTTATAAGTCATTAAATATGAGTCCTCTATCCGTAATATTTATTTCTCCAGTGAATAAGTTATCTGAATCAGGAGAGAAATATGCAAAGATCAAACACTGTTTACAAGCAAAACAGTCCAAAATATGTGTAGATTTTGATGTGAGAGGAAAACAGGACATGGACTTTTTCAATGGTTGAAGCATGGATTATGGACTCATATTTTGGCATGAAGTGATGATTTTAAGTTAAAAATGCCTTAATAATGGATTTGTTTCTTACAAACACGCAGCTTTTCACTTCATAAGATGTTAATTGATTGACTGGAACTTGTGTGGTGGATTATTGTGATGTTTTTATCAGATGTTTCAACTCTCATTCTGATGGCACCCATTGACTGCAGAGGATCCATTGGTGAGCAAGTGATGTAATTTTAAATTTCTCCTAATCTGTTCCGATGAAGAAACAAACTCATCTACATCTTGAATGACCTGAGGGTGAGTACATTTTCAGCAAATTCTCATTTTTTGGTGACAATTCCTTTAACAAAAAGAAAAGGTAGAGACTCTGCATATCAAATAAGATGAGTCGAAATGTTAGTATGTCTTATGGTCCCTGATTTTCCAGACGGTATGTGCAATCCATGACACGGCACCCATTCACTGCAGAGCATCCATTGCTGAGCAAATGCTTAATTTCTCCAAATCTGTTGTCATGAAGAAACAAACTCATTTTGGATGGCCTGAGGATGAGTACATTTTTAGCAAATTTGTATTTTTGGGTGAACTATTTATTTGAGATGCACTAAGCATAGCCTTTTCTATTTTAAAATAATTTTTTTTTTTTTTTTTGGAGATCATGATCATGTGCAGCTAAATACTTTATCTCCATAACGTTTCATTTACAGGTTAAATTGATGGTGACAACTGCAAAATATCGATTAGTGCATCTTTTATGGGTTTGTTTATAATTCATAACATCCCATTTTACAGGCACTGCTGTCTTTGGGAGCTTCTCCAGATTATCGAGACCGCTGTGGACTTACGCCACTGTACCACTCGGTGCTGACAGGGGGCGAAACGTCCTGCTGTGAGACTCTGCTGTACTACAGAGCACGGCTGGGCATCAGAGACGAGAACGGCTGGGACGAGTCACACCAGGTGTGTTTACCGTCTTAAACACAAGAGAATTATATATATGTCAAAGCCTGTGTGTATATGTGTGCATCATGCATGTGTCTGCTTCAGTGTTTTTTCGTTTATATTCACATCATTCTCTCATTTTTTTATTTATTATTTTATTTATGATCAAATATGTGTTTTGCTACATTTGACAACTTTTGATTTCTTTAATTGTTTGAGTTTTTAAAAATTTGACTTGAATAACATGCCAGTCTCTCGTGCTCTTCGCCTTCTTGTTTCTAAACACCTGTGCATATTTATGCATGTTTCATCCTGGTCATTACTGTGTCTGTATTCGTAAGCAGCTAGACACTTTTCATCCTCTGTTGAAGATATTTTTACATCAGATGTTAGATGGTGGGATCTTTACCTTTAACCTCATTAAAAGCTACTTAATGGGTAGGAATCTGATAATGGGTTGCAATGCTAAATGCAAACAGTGAATTGCAGCTACACATGAATGAAGTTAATTAGACTTGTCAGTTGTTTAAAATAGAGGAGAAATGCTTCTTGCTATATTTTGTTGTCGACATGCATCTGATCAAACTCTACTGTACTTGCAATAAACTCAGCACAGTGCAGTACAAAAAAGATTTATAGTTGTTGTTGTTTAGAAAAACTATTAAATAGAGGTGTTATTGTTTACTAAAACTATTAGAAATCATTGAAATTAAGCTGGAATAAAATAAAAGATGAATATCAGATGAAAATCTGAGAAAATTAGAAATGTTGATTTGGCAACTAACTGAAAGTATATTTATTCATTTTTTTATTTTAATAAATTATTAATTGTTTAATAAATGTATGCATTTATGTACTTATTTTTGAAATTAGACAGCACTGCATTCTGTGTGTTTTTAAAGTACATTATAAACACATTTTGATTTCATGTGCTTGAATTTGAAATAAATGTTTAAGTACTGGAATTACTACAATTAAAGCTGAAATAAAATTCATTAAAACTATTTAGATATATTTAAAGAATTATAAAAATGATAAGTGATAAATTATTAGAAATGATAAAAAAAAAATAATAATATAATATAATTATAATTAAATAATATAATAAATATAAATTAATTACTAAAATGACTAAAACTAAAGCTGAAATAAAATTAATTAAAACTAAATTTATGTGCTAAATTATAATAGCACATAATAAAATGACTAAAACTTAAATGATCAGAATTCAAGATTGTTGTACATATTGCCTAATGTAAAATCCTGAAGCAGAATCATGTCAGAACCTTAAGCAGATGTTTTTCTCCAGTACACTTATTGCAGTTCATGTTCCCCTGGAGCAACCTGCAGTTTAGAGCTTTGCTTTAAGGCACAGCAGTGATAGCGCATGGCTAGAGACCTTCCAGCATATCAGCCCTGAGATATAACCACTACACCACACCACCGACGTCAGCAAACCCACTGTAGGTGGACTGAGTCTGAAACTACATGAATCCGACAGCCCAATCACAGTACAGTACATAAATGTCTTCAACAAATGGAGAACAACGTCTAGGTGCTTCTGAATCATGTCCATAGTCCTCCACTGTCTGTCTCTCTCTCTCTCTCCATAGATCAGACATGAAGAGGTGTTTGGAGAAGTTGAAGTTCACAGGTACTCATCTCTCATCTCTCATTTCACTCATCATCTTCTGCTGTCTGTCTGTTGCCTGATGCTAAACAGAACTTTCTCTTTTTAATTCTCTCTTCTTTTCTTTTTATTTTCTAAGCCTTTTTGTGTACAAAAGTATATGAATATAGCTCCTTTTCCCCAATTCACAACCACCTACCTGCCAGTTGCCCACACACAATGGTACAGTACCATGGTACGACTCCCACAGCACCCTGAGA